ATTCGTATTAGATTATGTTCTTATATCTATGAGAGGTCTAGTGTAACTAGCCTTTAGAATTTAAGTGTCAAACGATTAAATATCAATAGTTACCATTATGCATAAAACTAAGAAACATTTACTTAAATTATTCTCAGTGTGCTTATTTCAGCAGACTAAATGACAAATAAGACACAGATATTAGAACCGCTAGTGTCAAACAGTTTAGGCATAAAATCAAGAAATATTTACTAAAAAGCATTCTTAGTATGCTACTTATAGTTGTTAGACAGAAGAAATCAAAAATAAATCGATCGCAGCGCATTGAGACTATCTAAGGAATCTGATAACATGTTATGACTCATAACCAGGTAACTTGGTAACAACGTAATACACAAGAGTTACTAGGTTCATTCTACTCCATGTTCTAGGAACATCTTTCTTTTTATATATTAATATGTGGATATGCATTAAAATCCGTACAAAAAACAAGATGTTATTACAGTTATACTGAACCCTGTTTATGATTACGTATAACACATTAATACACAAAACTGATGTTGGTAACAAATAACTTTCGGTGAGTGTATACTTAACACGGAAATAACCAAACGGGGAATCTAGGACTTTAAATTATAGTGCTATTCTGTACATGAATGTATTTTTTGTTTTAGTAAGAACTTCAAAACAATGTATCATGAAGTCTGTATCGTGTAACTTTATGTTAACTTAACAAAGACAAATAAAAAATATATAATATATAGGTTCCTTGTTGATAAACGTACCTTCTTACTATCGTCATACACATTGATACGATCTGTGATCTTCATTGTTCATACTGCTTACTTCATGTTACCTGTTGTTAAGCCCTTTATCGAGTGACGCTTTTTTAACGCCTGGTTATATTTGGTTATTTTATGATACATTGCCATTGATTTATCTTACAGTTGTCTCCTATATATACTGAAAGCAGATAATAACAAAAAAACCTGAAAAGTTGTACAATGTTATTTATGCTTATAATGTATTACGCTTATTATGCTGTTAGTATGCTTCCGAAGTATGTTCTACCAGATTTAGATATGGAATGACAATTCATTTCTTATAAAACCAAAAATATCACTCCATCTTGAATAGTGTGTATGTGAATACTGTTAAATGCATTATATCGTACCTTTCAAATGTAATTAATTGATAATTATATGTAAAAAAATGTTGTAATCAGAATTCATAAGCTTACTTTGTTTTTTATAATGTAGAACTCTTTAATGAAAAAAGGTGTTTTCACCACTAGCAATTAGCATACATGCATGCTTCATGGAGATAGGAAACACAGAAATATTAAAGAGGATCTAGAAAATTTGCTTAACGACACGTAAAGTTAACCATGCTTTTGGAAAGCTCGGTCCTGTTCTACTGTATTACAGATTTCTGCAAATGCTAGTTACAAAATGTAATAATAATAGCTTTTGCCGTCAAGGTTTCTCCTGTTTAAATAATAGTGATTAGTGTATCGACAATTCTGAAAATAATCATGTAATTCTAATTAAATATTATCAAAGTAGATTTGGTGGTTCTTCTCTGCCTTCTTATTTGAACAGTAGAAAAAGATAAAAAAAAAATCATGTTTTGTAAATCGTGTCAATCTTTCGCCTCTATTAAGGATGTACATCTCTGAGAAGTCAAAAAATTCCTGTATTAAACTTTTTTTCTTATATTGATTTTTGGAAAAAGGAGATAATGGCATAGTAGAAAATGCAAAAAAAAATATATGTCCGTGTGTTCGTTTTTGTGCTATGATCGGTCAAAGATACCAATTTAATTTTAGGTGAATTTTTGGGTTTTCACCATTTGCAGAACAAATTCATACAATTTCTTCTAAGTGTGTTATCAGATATGTATGAATGTATGTAGAATTGATAAAAAATATTATTTACTTTTAAGATTATGGAAGTAAAATTTCTTAATCTTATTCATTTTACTCAGAAATGCGATTTTAGTTACCCCTACCCCTTATTTTTTAATGAAAAATGCTCATTTTTTCACCATTTTTTGCAGATTAAACGCTTGATATAAACAAATCCTGTATTAAACTTTTTTTGGTATTCAATGAATCAAAAGAAAATGTGTTTCTCTTTCTAAAACAGCCACAAAATGGGGGGTCGGTGTGCTTCTTTTTTTGTCCCATTATTATTTGTGTTATTTTTCACCTTGTTCGGGGTCAAAAATCAAAAGTGCTTCAGTTAAAAAAAAATGTGTAAAAAAAATACCAATAATATATTACTTTCCACTTTTTTGCATATTATTTTAATCATATTGAACATTATAAAGTTGTACAGCAAAATTGAACCTGCTACATTTAACAATGGTGACACAATGACAATTTAAGTGATCAATCTAGTGTCAAAAAAGTTGAAATTTTGCCCTTTGGGAAGCGCAAGAAATTCACATAAATACACTTTTTCAAAATGGCCGCCAAATTGGACATTTTTTTCAAATCTTGGTAAAAAAAATCTACACAACAGACATCTTGTTTTTTGACATGATTTTTCAGATGTGTGTTTGTTATTAAACCTATCATAATTTGATAAATATTACAAAAACCCGTTACACCAGATCAAAACGAGACTTGAACGTGACTGAAACCTCAGAAGAGTACATCCTTAATGACTACATTAAACTGGTCCAATCTCTATGACCCATCTTTAACTTAAATAAAGGAGGTATGCCAATTTTCGGTGTCTTCCTATGGTTATCACCGATTGTTTTTGGGGAATAGATATATTGGGGTGATTTGACATGAAATTTAGGTCAGCTTGTAGATCATTCTGAAAATAATAGGGGGTAACCGAAAGCTCAATCCGTCAACAATAACATCATTTTTGTAAACCAAACAATAATGTTACCAAACTGTATTTATCAGATTTTAAACTAAATCTCTAGAAAGTGAGCTGGGAAAGTGAGAGTGTGGTTGCCTTCTTCATACCTTTTTAAACATTTTTATTCATAATTGCTTTGCTTTATAAGCTAGACAAAAACTGCTATCTTGTATTTGGACCTATACAATGTAACGGTCTTCCAGATACACTAGCTTACAATAAATACAAATGTATCTAAATACTTACTGTTTAATATACAAAAAAGTAATCGCGTTAACTTCCTGTCAAAAACTTGAATTTTAATTTCTCTGCCAGTGCTTTGATAACGTTCAAAACAATAATATATCATCGAAATTAACGGATGTGCAAAGGGGTTTCATATTCTTTTACATTTTTTATTTGTATTTTGAATAATATAATAGGATGTTTCACCACCCCTAATGCACACCTATTTTGTTTAGGCGGAGATCCTTATATATTTGAGTAAAATGTTACATACATATAATGTACTTACCTCACAATCCAGTAAGTAGTAATTTTCACTTTCAATATCTGGCAATTTGACATGCGTTGTAGAATCTCTAATATATGTAATATAAGTAATGACTTGCTCACTAGCCAACTGCTTTTTGCGTCTCCAAGGAATATACTGTTATACCATTTTCCAGTCTTTAATCTGTCTTTATTGAACAATTCATATACTGAAAATAATTAAAAACAACATAGCTTGATACATGCCCTTTTAAAAATTACAGAGAGGCTTAAAGAGACCTCTTAGCCGGTCAATTTTACCGTTACGCTGCCGCACGATTTTGATGTACATCAAAAGCTGAAACTAGTCTACTTGTATGATTTATTCCGAGGATGCAGAGAATATAACAGAGCGTAATCTCCGGAAATCCGACGAAGATCTGTCTATGCTTATGTTAATAATATATATATTTTAGGTGGATTGATTTGAGTACAGGTTGTAGGTTTTAGAACTGTCGCTATGCACTATTTTTCAGCATACTAATTTGTATGTCAATCTGTCAAATAGATAACACTTGAACATGTTATTATATACTATGTAACGAATATTGTGTACAATAAATAAAAAGTAATTAACTATGTTACAATATACGTTAACATATATTTATGACGCCACTCAATTTAGAAAGTTTATGATGTAATACTAAACTTAATTTGTTCCACATGCTACATAGGTGTCCTCACTCCCAATTCGTTGGGTATTTGTTACCCACTATTCTATATAGTGGATAACGCCCTGAATGTTGTTTAATTGGTCAATGTAATAATTATGACGTCAAGTAACCATGTTTTGCGACGTCATCTTCCATTGTGAAATCATTGTAAATGACAATTATTTCCCCGATTGGAAACAGGAAAAATGCATTCCAAAGAGAAGTAGATAGCTTTCTCGATATAATATCAGGTCGTAATTGGGTGAAAAAAAGGTCCCAAAACTCGTGTTGATCTAACTCTCCTTATTTCATTTTCAACTTGTATATGACACTCAGTAAACCTCGTGTATGTAAACAGCTTGAACATGAATTAACTTGAGTTAGATAAACGTGATAACAACCCATCACTCGTTGGGCATTCTCTATGTAACTATCTTGTGTATTTTGTCATTTTGTCTATTCTCTTCAACATTGTTGCGGTATCGACCACTGTATTTAAATGTTGTTTGTAACTGATAAGATGGAAAGCTTCAAATCAATTATAATTAATTAATAATTATTAATTCTAATTTTAATTTTGAATTAATTAACCATATCACGACAGATTGTAGGTATAAGCTACCTAATATAAAGAGAAATACGAAAAAAAAATATCGTATTGTTAATTATGGAAACTATTTGGGAGAACGATCAGTTATACGATAATTACATGCGGGACTCGCCTCCTCGATTACGCTTATGACATTTGATGGCAGACATGTGGAGAGGGTTTTAAATATAATAAGACATATGTGACTTGACGCTATCCCGATACCTCCCTTTGAATATTACCCTGACTTCAAATATGGTCAAAGTAACCGTTACGCTGCCGCGCGATCAATGTGTTCTACTTGTATCATCCATTGAGTTTGTTTTATTCCAAGGATGCAGAGAACACAAGAGAGTGTAACCTCTTGACTGATGCATATTTTAATTTGCGAAATCAATGTACAGGTATTTTAATTTGAGAAATCAATGTACAAGTGTAAGTGTTGCCATGTGTCCATTGCCATTGTCCGCTGCCCGCTACCTCTATCTGACCTAGTTAACCACCTAAGGGATTATTTCTGGGTCCGGTTGGCTTCATATCTGAGGCGGCTGCAAGAGGAAAAAGATGTAACACTCAAAACAATTAGATAACAACAGAATGGACAGAGAATGGGTCAAATGTTCAAATTCATTGTTTGAAACCAACTTAAAAACAGTTTGGGTAATAATTCAGATATTTCCCTTCAAGTGATCTTCTTAAATCCCAGAATGTATCCATTAATTCTTATTTGGTAATAATCATTTGATAACAATTGTATTAATTGTTGTAATAATTGTATTGCTAATCAAATTGATTTTATAAATTTTATTAATGATGAATATTATAAATTATCATAAATTAAAAAATCTTAATAGTTGAAACAATAGTTAGAATATTTGAAAAATAATTATAATCATTATTGTAATAAATCATTCTATATTTTTTGTAATAATGATTTTAATAAAAACTGTATCAATGCAATTAGTTATAAACAACTTAGCTCATTGATACACAGGACATTATTTTTTCTTCGCATCAGTGCGTCCTACAAAATATCGTATTTTCAGCTTTTGGGTTGCGAGTGATTTTGGTCATCACTGATAAAAAAAAAACTGCTACTTCTTTTTATAGAATCTTTTTGAGCAATGTTGTGTTTTCATACAGTGAGTGCTCCTGGTTGAAAACTGTGTTTCGGCATGTTGTGTTTCAAACAGCATACAATATACAACGTTTCAAGACCGACTGATCCCTTTGTCAAGCAATGACCTACTGGTCCCTTTGTCAAGCATTGACCGACTGGTCCCTTTGCCAAGCAATGACCCACTGGTCCCTTTGTCAAGCAATGACCTACTGGTCCCCTTGTCAAGCAATGCCCTACTGGTCCCTTTGTCATTCAATGACCGAATTGGTCCCTTTGTCAAGCAATGACCGACTGATCCCTTTGTCAAGCAATGCCCTACTGGCCCCTTTGTCATTCAATGACCGAATTGGTCCCTTTGTCAGGCAATTACCGAATTTGTCCCTTGTCAAGCAATGGCCGAATTGGTCCCTTTGTCAAGCAAGGACCTACTGGTCCCTTTGTAAAGCAATGCCCGACTGGTCCCTTTGTAAAGCAATGACCTACTGGTCCCTTAGTCAAGCAATGCCCTACCGGTCCCTTTGGCATTCAATGACCGAATTGGTCCCTTGTCAAGCAATGACCTACTGATCCCTTTGTCAAGCAATGACCGAATTGGTCATTTTGTTAAGCAATGACCGAATTGGTCCCTTGTCAAGCAATGACCTACTGGTCCATTTGTCAAGCAATGACCGAATTGGTCCCTTTGTCAGGCAATGACCGAATTGGTCCCTTGTCAAGCAATGACCGAATTGGTCCCTTTGTCAAGCAATGACCGACTGGCCCCTTTGTCAAGCAATGACCGACTGATCCCTTTGTCAAGCAATGACCTACTGGTCCCTTTGTCAAGCAATGACCGACTGGTCCATTTGTCAAGCAATGACCGACTGGTCCCTTTGTCAAGCAATGACCGACTGATGCCTTTGTCAAGCAATGACCTACTTGTCCCTTTGTCAAACAATGACCGACTGATCCCTTTGTCAAGCAATGACCTACTGGTCCCTTTGTCAAGCAATGACCGACTGGTCCCTTTGTCAAGCAATTACCGACTGATCCCTTTGTCAAGCAATGACCCACTGGTCCCTTTGTCAAGCAATGACCGGCTGGGCCATTTGTCAAGCAATGACCGACTGGTCCATTCGTCAAGCAATGACCGACTGGTCCCTTTGCCAAGCAATGACCGACTGGTCCCTTTGTCAAGCAATGACCGGCTGGGCCATTTGTCAAGCAATGACCGACTGGGCCCTTTGTCAAGCAATGACCGACTGGTCCTTTTGTCAAGCAATGACCGGCTGGTCCATTTGGCAAGCAATGACCGACTGGTCCCTTTGTCAAGCAATGACCGACTGGTCACTACGCCACGCTAGGACTCTCACTCAATCATGCCTTGAAAAAGAGACCAGTTAATCTTGAAACGTTCCGACACGTTTAATACGTACATTGTTTGTGTAGAAAGTAAAACTTTGATATCACATATTTCCAAATTGATTAATCTTATTGAAGATACGTGATATTCACGTCATTCGGAAATAAAAATATTTCAAGGAATTTTATTTTAATTTGAACTGCTAGAACTAGAGGGACCAATTAAGAAAGTGGTAACACAACAGGTTGGGTGGGATGGGATAGGCTGAGTTACGTACGTGTGATGATTATGCAGTTATACAAAATAAACATCCCTCCAATCTGAGCGCATGTGTAGGGCGTGACACCATTGATCCTGTAACCCTGCAGAGAGTCCATTAAGTCTACGTGATCAAGGGCATGGTCCTGTTTAGGAGTTGCCATGGTGACCGGACTTCTCTGTGTGGTCTCCTTAATGCTCGCTCCTGCAAAGATGAGACTGTATGTTTAAACATCGATGCAAAACAAAAGCTATCCTGAATTATATACTGTATACCATGAAAATTTCACCCAGTCAAATATTCGCCCTTTGTTGATAAAATCCATGTTCGCCTAATGTTAATTTCGCCCTTCACATATACATACTATAAGTGGAATAATATCCGCTGTCATGACAAATTCGCCCTAATTTTGGAGGGCGACAAGGCGAAAGTTAAAATGCAGCGAAAATTCTGCGGTACACAATAATTACATTTTTTGACATGTTATATTTGTATTCACAAGAAAAGATAGTTTTTTTAATTTTAAGGAGGAACATTTGTAAAACGTAGTAATAAAACAAACTGATGTATATCATGTATATCTTCACTAATGACGTATTTTAACAGTCTTAACAGTGCATTTGATTACAATATATTGAAGTATGGTTTTTTTCAAAGAGTCGTTTTTTTATTCATTTATTCAGATTTTCCCTGGAATCAGCTTTCCGTTTAGGGCGTTGTCTTCACGTAAGCATGTTTCAATTCATGATGAATTGGCGTGATTTTAAATTTTAGAATATTTTGTCAAACTATGACAGATTGAAGAAGTGAATAGAAAACGACGCTATAAATGCATTTCATCCCATTTTAATACAAACCTATATGTTTTGAGTGTTATGATATGCAAAAAACGTCAAATGAAACAATTGCAGATCAACATAATAAATTAATAAATATTTAGATAATGAGCCTGTATACAAAATTCGTATCATGGTTTGGTATGCCATTAGTGGTCCACTAGCGTTTTTCCTACGTTGACTATTTAAAATACATATTTTGATTTTTTAAATTTCGTATGATTACTTTTTAGCATTTTGATTGAACGATTTGAATATTACAAAATCTAAACCTGTTACTGAAAAGAGAGGATTATAGATCGAGACAGAATGTGTTTTTAACTCGTATCCTTAATCCTAACTTTTATTTTAGAATAGCTTAGCTAATTTATGTTGGAATAAAATATACCTATCCAACCGCAGACTAAAGCTTTATTCAGTTTTGCCTGTTCCATTTTCTTAACAATATTAACATATAAACAAATGTAGAGAATACAAGACGTACATGTAGCAAAGGCAAGGGAAATACCATTTTTTATGTTTTCGTATTCCGTAGTTATATAATAATGGATGGTGTGAAAGAGATATATCACCTGCCGTAGGCCTCCGTTTTGCATAATTTGCTAAAAACATCTTCTCCGTCAAACGCATGATAGAAATAATGGTGGAACGATACACACTAAAACAACAATATCGAAATGATGTCATAAAATACTGCATATACTTAAATGTCTTATGTCTTACTACCGTTTTCCTGTCGACACCAGTAATTCCAAGAAATTCTTCTGTCATTTTTGTACAAAATGTTTATTCAAACGAAGTAAATATACATGGGTTTTTTTCATTGTTTGAAACAACGTTTTGTTCAATGTACGTATTTAAACTAATTGCTTGCTAAAAGGACTAGCCACGGATAATAATTTGTGAACCGCTTTGAGACGACCTACGAACTAGGTTGTGATAAAGCGGTATATAAAAATCTCCAATTATTATTATCATTATGGAGCTTTAGTTGGATGGATATGAAAAAAACGTGTACCACATCATCTTCACACAAGACCAAACACTCAAAGCTTAGGCCAAAACGAAAAAAAAAGTCAACAACAGAAACTAAGGAGTTACCAACACATTAGGAACCTCTCCTCCCGCCTCCCGTATAGTCGTAAAAACGATATTCCTGGATATTTTCGATATTGAAGTGTCTGTGTCGTCAGTGCAAACGGGATTCCTGGAACAGCCTAACGTCACCAAAATGCATGCTTCTGGCGGTTGACTCATGTTAATGGAGGCGGGAGGATAAACTTCAACATGACGCTGATCCAATTGCGTCCATAGCCCCATGGACGCAATATTTTATGGTAATGATTATAGAGGATCTTGCATTGGAAATCTAAATATATGTTGTAATAAACATGTTTACTTCGTTTGGTTCAACTTACTTTTAATGCTTATGATGCGGTTCCTTAATACGTCTTTCTAGTGATTAACTTTACACCGTGAAAAGCCAGATATACCGCTGCGAGTTGTCCTTTGTTTTTCGTGTGACTATCAAATGTGAAGCCATCGATCCTGTTACATGATCTGTATCAGTTAGTCCAAACAGTCAACACGTGGCCAAACATTGTTACATTACGACACCAAGTCCCTAATATCATCATAATCCTCACCATGATCGCAAAATACCACGCTTATCCCTGCTGGCATTGACCGTACAATGTATCACAATATCATGTTTAGTGCCTAGTGGCGAACCGAACGCATAGCACTTTCCTCATTCCAATAATTTCACTTTTCAACACAGTAAATTCAAATTATGAAAATTCCCTAATAGTTTCCGATTAACGTTCATATTGCGCGGTAGGATATTGTGAAAAATATGTTTGGACGAAATATGTAAAACTTAATTGATTTCACAACAATTATGACACAAGTTATATCAACTTATGTCGATCACTCTTGTTGGCCCGGAAAACAGCGCGCGGGGGGTCTTAATGTGGTAGGAAACCCGAGTACCCGAGAAAGCCCACATGGTTAGGTAGATGACCCCATACCTTATCACGTTCGGTCGGGGAATTGAATCAACGCCGCCTTTGTGAAAGCAAGTGCGTTATCCATCGCACCACCCGAGCTCCCGTATGTATTTGAAGGTTGATTCAGAATAATTGAATCTTCCCCTTAATAGCAAAAATAAATAAAGAATTTCAATGATTTGGAAGAATTTTGCGAGGACAAAATGTCGTGCTCAATCAGTCGTAAAATTGTCTTCTTTTGCTATTTGTGTAACCTTGTCACGCATCAAATGTTACGCCAGGATTTCTCACCTGTAGCACGATTTCTCACCCAGGTTAGATATCGCGCTAAAACTACTGCGTTCGCAACACGATATTTCTCCCCTGTGCGATTTCCTTTCAGAGTGTGAAGTCGTGTAATGAGTTTGCCGTTTGGCCGTTGTTATGTAATTGCTTTAAAGTCGATTTATGACGATTGTTATATTCCATCTTTGCGTATTGCAGAGTTATCTTCTCTTGAGAGCAGGTATTGATTGTTACGTCATTTGTTTGTGATAGTAACGTCATCATTTTTTGAGAAAACGACGTAATTTTCCCACACAAACCAATGACGTAACAATCAATACCTGCTCTCAAGAGAAGATAACTCTGCAATACGCAAAGACGGAATAATTATAGCAAAGTTGTGTACATGATACATTGCATTTGTACAAAGACATTTCAATAACCAAGGGAGAGAACCGGACCTAGAACGCATATACCCTATACTATATTGATCGTAGTGCTTAAGTTCTGTTGTTAAAAAAAGGGCTAAACTAGTCTAATAGAGATTTTTTTTTAGGGAAAACCCTCTCCGCCGCTTTAGACGCTTACCGCTTGTTTGTACTATATATATACATGTGTCGAACATTGTATTTCTGATCTTACGTCATACCTCTACAACCATACAATGATATAATAGGCTACCTGCCATTAAGTGAGTCAAAACATTCTAATTCTATATTTACTTATTAAATATCAACGGTTGCGCAGTAAATAACCTCCCTGCTTTATAATCATATGTTTGTGGTTCAAAATGCGGAACAATTTTTGCGAAAAGGGAATATACATATGTATAGTGATTATGTTTCCTTTGTTTTTAACTCTTTCTTATATCGAATGAATCAGCCAATTCATCTCAGAAAAATTGCCAAACATCATGGTACACTATAAAAACCTATATTTTCGCTGTAAATAATTTTCCGCTAATTGGCATGTTTAAAAGATGTTCAATTTCGTGAGGTATATTTTACGGGTATTTCATGTCTATGAAGGCCTATGCGTAGTGTAAAGACGGATTTATCTGCTATCAATTTCAAAATTGTTACCTCAGGAATCATAAACGCGAAAACCATTACATTATCATTGAAGGGAACTGTGTTGCATCTGTGCAGCCGTTGGTTGTATAGGTCTATTGCAAGAAATGATTAAAGGTTAAAAGAGCGAAAACAGACTACCGACCCCCC